AGGGAAGGGAAGGGAAGGGAAGGGAAGGGAAGGGAAGGGAAGGGAAGGGAAGGGAAGGGAAGGGAAGGGAAGGAAAGGAAAGGGAAGGAAAGGAAAGGGAAGGAAAGGGAAGGAAAGGGAAGGAAAGGAAAGGAAAGGAAAGGAAAGGAAAGGAAAGGAAAGGAAAGGAAAGGAAAGGAAAGGAAAGGAAAGGAAAGGAGAGGAAAGGAAAGGAAAGGAAAGGAAAGGGGAAAGGAAAGGAAAGAGGAAAGGAAAAAGGAAAAGAAAAAGGAAAGGAAAAGGGAGAAGACAGCAAAAGGCAGAAGGGAAGGAGAAATGCCATTCGGCAGATCCAGCTGCTGGGGCTGCCCGGTGTTTCCCCGCTGCTGTTATTGCTGCTGCACCTCTGTGCTGGGGCAGAGCAGACGGAGGTGATGGGGGGAGAGAAGAGGTAGTGAAGAGATAGATAAATATATAAATGCCGCACAAGCTGTTAAAATCTGCTCTGAGAGTCAATTTTGACTTTTAGGCTCATGAACCATTAATAAAAATCTCCTTATACTCAAATGGCTCTCAAACGCTGTGATAGCGGATTACAAACTCCTAATGGAGATACTGTATGATCAAATATTCTCTAAGCAGCAAGGTCTAACATACCGGGGGTGGCCGGGCCACCTGATTATCAGCTTATTGGCAAATACTTCTTAGTGCAGGATGTGCCGAAAAGGAAGCGTCTTCCTCAGCGCGGTCCCTTTCCCCGTTCTTCATTTCAACAGATTTGGGGGCGGCATCATGTGGTCTGGGGACCATAGGATGACCTGTGGCAATGACGACCCCGCGCGCGGGGCTGCACACCGCACTGTCACGGGGCTTGACCCCAGTTTTGGGTTTTCCCCGTTAGAGAGGCAGAGTTGGAGGCACCGGTGGGGACTCCCCTTCAGGCTCCCAGTGCATAGAGAAAACACCTTGGTCTCAAATGCCTCCCGGTGACGCTCAGCCCTTGCCAGGACCAAGCCACTGTAGGTGATGTATAATTCCTTGGTAATTAGATTTGGAAGGCCGAGGTAGCATCATTACAGGGAGAGCCAGAGGAATGGAGGTGCCTCTGTGAGACCAGAGACCTCCTTACAGAGATCCCTACGGAGCTAATTGCTGGAAAAACTGGACCATGTTTCTGTTGTTTTCTGTTTTCAAGGAGGAGCTGGTTGTCTCTCTGCCCCCCCTCACATGCTCACAGGTAGGGACCCTGATATTTATTCTCGTGTGGATGCTGGTAACGAGAGATGCAATATTTCTGCCAGAGCTGCTA